CCGCGTGCCGGCGGGGCGGGGCGCGGTGCTGTAACGGCCGGGTGGTGGCGGGCGTGAAGCGATGCCCCCCCGGCTGCCAGGGAGGGACCACGCAGGGCTTCGCCCAAGGTCGACCCGGCCTCAGCCGTTCCGTGTCCGCCTGGTGCCCGCTTTTAGGTGTAAGGCGCGAGGGCTATCAGCAAATTAAATGCTTGCGGACGTGCCTGGCTTTTTATAAAGTGCTCGTGGAAAATTCACGGGTGTTTTTTCACAAGAGGAAAAACCTCTTCCCGAGAGGAGCGGAGGATGAATCAATACCGTGTACCTGCAAGGATGGCTGAGATGTTAAAGGATTATGTCCTGTCTCTTGAGATCGAGTCTGTTAATTCCTTTTAAAAAGGGGGACTTAGGGACTTAAAAAAAATGGTGTCACCTCATTATTTCCAGAGGTATGTTGTTTTTTAAGAAGTAGTGACTAAAAACTTCTAATATCAGAATCGTGAAATCCTGACAATTCTAAAGGCGATTGCCAGGTTATATTTCTGTTGAAAGCCTAACACTTCTAATCCTTGCATTTTCTTTGTATTTGGAAACAGAATAAAGCAGTCAGAAAAATTCAGAAAGTAGAACACAATGCCTCTCTTTGGTAACACTTTTAGTCCAAAGAAAACGCCACCCAGAAAATCAGCTTCTCTCTCCAACTTGCACTTGGTAAGTTCTGGGGCCCATGTCCTGACCGTTCAGAAACCAGGAATGGGTGGTTTGCGCCAAGAACGTTGCGTTATAATTCCTGCAAGACACCTTCCTCTTGGATGTTCCCACCTCTAGCTCTTTCCACCTCTGGTGGTACAGGTTCCATTTCTGATCGCTGGTGGCCAGACACCAAGATAAAAATGGAAGGGTTCAGGGTGTTTCCAGCAGGTTGAGGGAGGCGATCCTTCCTCTCTGCTCAGCGTAGGTGAGGCTGCATCTGGAGCACTGTGTCCAGTTCTGGGCTTCCCAGTACAAGAGAGACATGGACTTAGCAAGAACAGGTGCAGCGAAAGATAACTTAGGGATTGGAGCATCAGTCATACAGGGAGAGTCTTAGAGTGCTGGAACTGTTCAGCCTGGAGAAGAGAAAGCTCTGGGGACCTCATTGATGTGTATAAATATCTGACCAGAGGGTGTAAGGAAGACAGAGCCGGACTCTTCTCAGTGGTGCGCAGTGACAGGATGAGAGGCAATGGGCACAAGTGGAAACACAGAAAATTATGTTGGAACATAAGAAAACTCTTGTATACTGTGAGGGTGGTTGAACACTGGAACAGGTTGACCAGAGAGATTTTGGAGCCCCATCCAACCCGACCAGATGCAGTCCTGGGCAGCCTGGCCCTGGTTGAATGGGAGGGTTGGACTATGTGATCTCCAGAGGTCTCTTCCAACCTCACCCCTTCTGTTATGTCTTTTCTAGCTTTCACTACTAATAGGAGTACAGAATGGACCATAAAGAATGAACACGTTCCACTTTCAATCCTTTTAGGTGGTATCTTCAGTTTAGCGATGGAAGTTTGTTTGCAGAACATGGAGTATGTGTTGGGGTGGGAGGAAATACAGAGGTGGTAGTGAGAGGAGAGGCTCCTCTACTGCAGCAGTACATGACTATAAGTAGGTAGTAAGTAATTCAGCTTCCACTGAATTGCCAGTCACTGTAACAGATTTTTGCATTCCTGTAAAAATCTGAGTTGGATCTTCTCCCTACAGCTGGATAGATCAACCCGTGAGATTGAGCTGGGCCTGGAGTATGGCACCCCCACCATGAACCTTGCTGGCCAGAGCCTGAAGTTTGAAAATGGCCAGTGGGTAGCAGGTAGAGTGAAGCTGTGCTTGTCTTGATCTGAAATAGTTATGGTTGGTTGATAATCCTAATTTTGGTCTCTCTATTTGCTGTAGAGTCAGGAAGCTTCACTGGGGATCGCAGGGAAATGCAACGCTTGCGCAAACGAAACCAGCAACTAGAAGAAGAGAACAACCTCCTTCGACTGAAAGTGGATATTCTGCTCGACATGGTGAGTCTCTGTTGAACTTTTGCCTGCCCGTGGCAATGGAAATGCCAGAGTGAAGAGTTCTGGGACCCCCAAAGGCAGCCATTCTCATTGCAGTGTGTGCACCCCAGTTTTTCTGCTTTATCCTACTGTGCAAGAAAACTTTAATGGCAAAGTGACTGTGAGAGTGAAGTGTGATCTCATCTGTTTCCTCTGCAAGAAGAGGGGAAAGTTCCTCTAGCAGAAGAGCTCGACTCCAGTGGAGCCTGGAGCGGGATTAGAAGGGCGCCCCTACAAGTGGCGTGTTTCCTCATTCCCTTTCTGCACCGCGTATAGCCACCTTCCTGGCATTAAGGCCTCTGCCCTGTAAAAACAAGTTACAGTTACCCTTTCTGGTCATAGATCCAGGGTGTTCCTTTTGACGTGACAAGCGGTCTTTAATCTGTATGTAAACCTTTGGGTGAAAGAATTCCCAAACCATATCTAAACTGAAATTCAGCCTTACACAGAGATCACAGCTTTCACACTTAGAATATGGAGACTTTTTCAGTGAAATAGAATCATTGCTCAGTTATTAAGTGGGTTAGCTTTTATGTCAATCTGATTGAATACTTATTTATTCCTTAGTCGTTGTCCTTCCTGTATCCTGTGTTTTTAAACTGTAAAGATGCCTTCGTGCTTTTCATGCTTTTCTGCACTAAGCAGAAAATCTGGCTGCTCTACAGGCTCTGTAGGCTATCTCAGTTAGGTTTGAAATCCCAGTTTCCCTCTCACTAAAATGGGAGCAAATGCTCACGGGGGCACTGATTTGTGACTGTAAACCTCAGTGACATCTCTGAAAAGATAGTGCTGTGAAATCCAAAGTGTCATTGAAAAAGCTTCTGAGACACAGATTGCTTGTAATGTTCTACTACAGTGAGATGAGGTGCTTCTGCAGAGGGAAAGCAATCTCTGTGATACCTCTAAGATCCTTTCACATCCTACTACAGGAAGGGCACGTATGAGGCGTGGGACAGATGACACCTTTGTTGATCTGACGTTAACCCCACAAATAGAAGGTGGAGATTGCGGGAGTAGCTTGTTGTTGTCCTTGTTCTCTGTGTGCTGCAGCTCTCTGAGACCACAGCTGAGTCCCACCTGATGGAGAAAGAGCTGGAGGAACTGAAGAATCACAGCCGGAGGAGGAAGTGAATGGCTGGAAGAAGAGCAGATGGCTAAAGGATGAGAGAGCAAGGAAGCTGACTTTGAATCTTCATTGCCTCTGCATGCAGGATTCATGGAGCTAGCTTGGACAACGTAGTTGTGTTGGTACTATATATATAGTTGTACTATATATAGTTGTGTTGACACTATATATATATTTTATATATATATATATATATAGTTGGTACTATATGTAGAGAGAGATATATACTTTTTCCCACAGGACAATGAATAGCAGTAGATACTTAATTGTGTGGTACAGAACTGGTGTTTCAGCACCACAGTAAATTACGCCACGACGCTATTAATGAACACTCATCTTCTTTCTCAGAGCGGTTTACTGTGTACCTTACTACCTTTCTTCAGCAATCTAATTGTAGGTACTGTGTTTTCTGAGAAGACCCTGACAAAATGCTCCCTCCTCTGTGACTGGTGGGACAGATTCGCTCTTAAGTGAATGGAGTTAGTGACTTGGTGTTGCAACTCCTGTGTAAAAGACCCCTGTGCTATTACCCTCAGTCCCAAAAGATCTAGACTGATCCCTCCCTCGCGTCTGTGTTTAAAAATAGGGGAAACTTTCTCCTCACCCCCAAAGGACGATCTTTCCCTCTTGATATTTTTGTGTGGTTTTGTACAAACTGTTGGTTTGGCTTCTTGCTTTTGGCGAGCAGGATTCTGAAATTGTTTGTTCTCAAGGGTATTTGATACTTTATATAAAAAGTTACATTAAAAAATGCAGGTGTTTGCTACGTTGCCCCGGGTGTGTGTTAGGCTTTGTCCGAAGTTAAAGACGGTGTGTCCGGCGCCCCGTTACCCTGTCAGGGTGGCGCCCAGAAGCTCCGGCCGAGGTTAGAGCGTGGCTCGGCTCGACGCCACCTCGGCTTGTGCGGAGGAACGCTCTCCGTCCGCTCTGAAGAGCTTCCTGTCCGCACTGGCCGGGCGGAGCGGG